TATACATATACATATATACATATATACATATGCATACGTACATACATACATACATACATACATACACACACATATATATACATATATAATGTGTGTAGAAAAGGTATGAATGACAATGAGTGTATCCCTGTTTCACCAGAAAAGTCATGTTCTTTTAGTGTCAAAAACTGCGTCATTCTTGTATCTTATCGGCTATTGCCGGTTCTCCACCTTTGACACAAGCACCAGAGGCAACGAAGGGCTGCATTGTTCTTATCTTATCATCAAGCAGAGATAGTCTACCAAGAGGAGTTTTGCCTTTCGTGTAAATAATGTTGTTTCTGGATTACTTTAAGCTAGACATCGCTTGCCTTTCTCGAAGATTCCCTTTATTTATTTGTTCGTCTGTCATATTTCAGGTTGTTAAAGTAATACAGAGCTTAACATGAAAGTATAAACTATTGGAAGGAAGGTCATCTGTGTTAAACTGTGCCAGACTGCAAGAAAAGAAAAGGGACATTACACGTGAAAAAAAATATATCATAGTAACAGAAATATAAATAGTACCAAAAGTATGTAATGGCTCTGAACATATAGGAAAAAAGCTGAATGTGACGAAATAGTGAACATTTGTGATTTTTTTTTTTTTTTTTTTTTTACTTTTACGGATTTCCTTTGGTATGGGTTCGGCCTTAGAAATGGCTTCTGAAATGAATTTAGCTGTAGATGTCACAGCCAGTGAAGGAGAGCTAAAGTCGGGCTATCAGGAATTTCCAGAGAATAGTCACTTGCATGATGATTTAAAAGGGCCAGGAGGAAGTGTTAGGAATAATCATGGAAAGAATCATATTCGAAACATTTCTGAGGAGGAACTGGAAATTCTTGCGACCTCAAGAGAGGCAATGCACAAAGATTCTTCACTAATGAAACCAGAATACACAGGTTATAAGAGAAAGGTTAAGATATGTAATTTACTCGAGTATAAAGATTCCGAAACACAAGGGAGCACATTGCTAAGTACAAGAAACAGTGATACACACACGAAAATCCCGCAACAAAGCGACGACGCCCTTTCATTGCACGCAGAGTGTCCCGTGGCATTTATATCAAAAGGGTGCTTTTGGGAGGCGAATGGGGCGTCGTGGGCCTCCCCTGCGGCCAAGGGGGACCCGCTACCAATAGCGCCAAAACACACAGTGGAAGCCTCCAACGGTGATCCAACCCTTGGTTCTCCGTCATTCATCATGGTTCGAGAAGCCTCTGTTGAGGGCGTATTCATATACGCTCCCACGCCAAGTTCTAGCGAACCTGAAATGAACTGTTCACCCACCGCGGTTTCACAACAGAGCCCATTCCGGCGTCAGTTGTTCACATCTCTCATGACACGTCAGTCAGCCCTTGTGTCAAGGATCAACCAGCAAACTTCTAAGCTAATGAGGGCAGTCGAAGCAGCTACATCTATCACACAGACAGATCGAGAAAACAAGTCAAGATCAATGTCGTCAGATATCAGTCCAGACTTGACGTCAACAGCATTAACAGAAAAAGAAGACATTATTGGACCAAAGACTAGATGTTGTCCATCTGTAAAATATCACCTTGGTGAGGACTTAGAAAATGAATCATTCGAGCCATGTGGGTCTCGTGACACGGGGGCACGAGACCCGCTTCGCTTGGTGTCCATTTGTGACTCTGGGATTGGCTTCGAGTCGGATGAAGATGCCAAGTCCTTGTCGCGGCATTCTTCGTATACACTTAGCGAAGACAGCGAAGGGCCAACCGAGGAGACAGGTAAGCCATAAGAATTAACTAAAAAGCATTGTTTGATTTATTGAAATGCTTTACATGATACACAGTTTTCTCCATTGACTGACACACTGCAAGACTATAGTACATAGCCAAAATCTTGACGATAGAAATTAGTTGCACACAATTTCGTAAGCAATTCACATTTGCTAGAGATTAATGCATTTTCTTTTTTGTCATGAACACTAAGGGGTGAGGGAAGGAAGTCAGTTTGATTCAATCTTTAGCTATCAAAATACGTATTATAAAATAATGCACCGTCTCATATAAATACATGTATGTGTGAGTATGTATGTGAGTCAGCATATTAGTAAGAGTAAGAGTAAGGCTAGAAAGGCTAATAAGGCAGAGACAGTCACAGACAGACAGACAGAAAGGTGTGAATGAGTGTTTAAGAGACAGACACACCACACACACACACACACTCTCTCTCTCTCTCTCTCTCTCTCTCACTCTCACTCTCACTCTCACTCTCACTCTCACTCTCACTCTCACTCTCTCTCTCTCTCTCTCACTCTCACTCTCACTCTCACTCACTCTCTCTCTCTCTCTCTCTCTCTCTCTCTCTCTCTCTCTCTCTCTTTCTCTCTCTCTCTTTCTCTCTCTCTCTCTCTCTCTCTTTCTCTCTCACACACACACACACACACACACACACACACACACACACACACACACACACACACACACACACACACACACACACACACCGCACACC